GCCATCTAGCTGAAGGACGCTGCCCTTGGGCAATGGCCGGCTGCAATCCATGGCCTGCGGTGTTACACATAGGCGTGCAAAAGAAGCGGTGCCAATGAGAGGTTCCCATTATACTCGACATGGGAAAGGCCTCCACTTATTATAAGGTCCTCAAGAATTAAGTACTCACACCTAGGCTTGATCATGAACCCGACCCGACCCGACCCCGACTTTGCCCTACCCGATGTCGGGTGCGGGTCGGGTTGGGTCGGGTCAAGTCGGGTCGGAGCTCAGGAAATGTCAACCCGACCCGCGTTTAATAGGTCGGGTACTACCTGACCGATTTTGGGTCGGGTCGAGTCGGGTTGGCATAGGGGCAGGGACGGGTAATAAGCCGACCCGACGGGTCGGGTTTTGTAGGTCGGGTGGGTCGGGTCGGGTCGGGTACCCGAGGGTCGGGTCGACCCTCCGCAAATGTCGGACCCAACCCGTCAAAAAGTCGGGTAACCAGACCGGACCCGACCCGTTGCTCAAGCCTACTCACACCTTACAAATCGACACAACATTCTTGGATCCTCCCTGTGACAGAAAGAGATTAATGTGGTCTTTCACGAATGGGAGGTTCAAACAAGTGTGGGGAATGGAGGGTAAGTCCATCCTTATGAAATCTAAAATGAATAAGGGCAGTGAAGTAACAGATTGCACAAACTTAAGGTGATGTCATAAGGTCAAGTAGAGGCTAGCCAACACTTCACATCCCACTCTGTATAATAAGTACTCTTTCTCCCACTTCTACTTCACCCAATCCTTACCGCATTCTGGAGTTTGAATTGACTGAATGAGATGCCACAAATGGATAAATGTCCGAACACCACCAGTTGTCTCCACTGACTGCCATTGTGGTGGCTGTGGCATTGGCTGAAGACAGTACACAGAGTGAGATGGAGGCGTTGGGGAAAGGAAGGGAGGGGAGGAAGTTTAGATAGAGAGGAGATGCAAGGCCCATCTCATGCATTGCTACAACGAACTGTAATCCGTAACACAGCCATAATGCGTCAAAGAGTTCAAACATGATAAAATGGCATAGTCAAAGCCATTAACTGGGACCAAGAATGTATCACCTGGATCGCACGTGGGGGAGTTGTCAGCTGTTTTGCTTTCAATGTGGTTAAGAGGGCAGATGCAGGAGTAGGCGCCCTTGCCATCGTTGATGCATGTGCCCACAGCGCAGGGGTTCTTAAAGTGCGACCCACACACGTCCACTGCCACAATTGTAGCGTGATAGATAGTACATATACTGGGGTTAGAGGTGAGCAAATTGAAGAGAAAGATATGGAGAAGGGCGAGACATGCAGATAGTGGGGAATGACGTGTTGCCTATTTCTTACCATAAGCACATGTGGAGGAGCCATTTCCATTCCCGACTTCAACAAAAGGCTGCTTCAAAGATCCAGGAATATTGCAGTTGCATCTATTGCTGCTTCCACCAATCGCCTGGCATGCGAACCGGCCACAAGGGTTCATGCCGTACAAATCCTTATCGCCTTTGTAGCCTTTTCGGCCGCAGGGGTCCCCTGGAACTGGAATGTGACGAGGGATACACTTGCAACGAATGAAGATGAAGTTGGAAGATCATATAACATGAAGTGTGGGGGAATGAGACTCAACAGCTCATGCCACACTACCAGGGTCATAGCTAAGAACCACCTAGGGCGTAAGTGCTTGCAAAGATTTCCACCAAACTGAATGACCATTGAGAGCAATTGTCTGAATTGGGAGAAGCAACCTGAGGGATCCTAGTGACAACATTAACTACCTCGCTGCAATGCACTGATTTATCCTCGACATCCTCCGAAATGGCATAGATGGCTCACGCTTGACAATGGGGTAGATGCCAGGCAGCACGTTGATGCCACACACGCCATCCCCTCCCTGGATGTCCATGCGCATGTGCCCCCCGTCGCCCCACTCCACTCCCCACGAGTTGCGGATTATCCAGAAGGGAGGAGCAATACGGTTATGGCTGCCGTCGGTTCTATTAATGGAGTAGCCAACAACGAGTACAACATGGTTCAGCTCGCCTGCGTAGCAATCAGGATCCTGGTATTTGAACGTCTGAAGAAATATCAGGACAACACATCCATCATGAAAACAAGGAGTCCAAGAAGTAAGTCACCAATGGTGCCAATGGTAGTTTAATACCCGCCTGGCTACCCGACCCGGTTCCCTTGAAAAGCGGATAGTATTACCCGCGTTTTCCTACCCTGCTGGGCTACTAAACCTACGACCTAGATAGTGCTTAAAAAACGTGAGTTGGGGGAGGGAGAATTGAGGTGCGCCAAATCTTTAACAATTCTACTGTGGTGACTGGGGCGTGACTGGGGCGTGACTGGGGCCTGACTCCTGAGTGGGAAGGTGGTTGGGTTTTCTAGTTGGGATGGGGGGGTTGTGTGCGGTTTTAGGGGGTTTGATATTTTGACCCCCCGAGTCAATTGGTTGGAACTCCAACCACTGTGGTGCTGTGCGGTTGGCTGAATTCAGGTTGGGTTGCAAATTCGATTGGGGAAATTCGATTGGTTTGAATTCCAACCAATTTCCCCCAATTCAACCGCTCTAAATACATCTGGATCTATGAGATCCAACCGTTGCCACTCTACAATGCTTACGTGACCTAGCAGCTCGCGTAACCTAAAAACTTGCTGCAATCTCTCTACCAGCACGACCAATGCCGTGCGGGTTCCGTCGTGTAGACGCGCTACCCGATTTCGGGTCGGGTACCCGCTACCCGACGTGTCGGGTAACTTTTCGGGTAACGGGTATCGAATACCCGCCCGGGTTATCCGGAACCGACCCGCCGGGTAATATTCAGGAATCCTGATACCCTACCCGCCCTAAAAGCGGATCCGGGTCCCGGTTACCCGACCCGCGCGGGTATTTTGCTCAATCCTAATATATATGTCTCGTTCACCCACGCCACTTAGCAGATGCCTAGCGCACATCCTCAACCTGGCTGTCCAGTGTTCTATTGAGAATGTGAGCTGAAACCACCTGCTCGCCCCAACCACCCAGCCCACCACGCTGCACCCCACATGCCAGCACTCCAGCCCACCACACACTTCTGATCCCTTCCTTACTTGCCCCCCTGCGCCCTCTCATGCCTTCCAGCTAGACGTTACTTACAATAATAGCCCTCGGCAGTTCTATCTGCATCAGTTTCAGCTCACATTCTCGCCTTCGCGCCCCCTAGTGAGCAGCTCCTTCCTCTCCCACAGGCTTCGATTACCACGGTCGTTCTTAGTGTGCCCTATGCTGAGGATCTCGTTTCACGATGGTCTATCGTTTCAAGCAGCTCGTAGGTGACTAGTCTTGTTCACCCATGTCATTCTTATCTGCATGTTCACGAGCTAATGCGCCATTGGGGGGGCGGGAGAGTAAGGAGGGGCGAGGGGGAGGAGGCGGCACGCAGAAGCGGTATCTTCGGGAGGCGGGGCGCCTGGCGGAGTACCTAGATGCGCGCATGGAGGCGGCCACCAGGTGCGCGGACGCCAGCAGATGCGAGCACGGTGGTGAAACATCTCTTCCCTTGTTTCGCTTCTCGCCACTGTCCTTTTCCTCTCTCCTGTACTCGTTCCGTCTATGCCCGTCTCGATCCCCCTTTCGTGCCCTCTCTCCCTTTTCGCTCGTCCCAGCTGCTCTCTCTCCCCCTCGCCCCTGGAGCTGTGCTTGCCATGTGTGTGCTTGCCACGTGTGTGCTTGGCGCAGCAGCGGTGCGGCGCGACTCGTGCAGAGAGGCATGGCTAGTAGTGTGTGTGGGAAGGTGGAGGGGGCAGAGCGGAATGGAGAGCATCCGCTCTCGTGCACTCCCCTTCTCACGCGCATGCCCCATCCATCCGTCCATCGTGTGTGCGCTGCAGGTTGGGCGCAGCAGCAGCAGGCCCGAGGAGCAGTGAAGGGGGGCATGCTGGCGCCATGGGTGGTGCGCTGCCAGACGACGTGAGCGCCATGGCGTATGCGCACGACCTGCCACCCAAGGTGCATACGTGTGCCTTGCTATATGCATGGCGGTGTGAAGCCATCCCTGGCAGCCCATCCGTGTGCCCTCTGTTCTGCCTGTTGCGTGCCCATGCCACCCCCTTTTGGCTCTTGCACGCCACGCCTCTCCATGCGACCTACCACTCTCCTTGCCTTTACTCACCTCTTTCTTTCACATGGCTGCATGGTTGCATGGAATCACATGGCTGCATGGCATGGCATGGGCGCATGGCACATGGGTGCATGGCATCACATGGGTGCATGGCATCACATGGGTGCATGGCGTGGGTGCATGGCATCAGGTGCATCTGTGGCAGCACCACGAGTCTCTCTCCTCGCGCCATCTCTCCTCCTCCCTCGCCTCCCTGCACCGTTACTTCGACTACAGGTGAACAGTCATGGCCAGGCGGAGAGGGGGGGGTCATACAGGTGCCACGGATGGGTTGCTGGAGTAGAGAGGCCCATGAGAGGGCATTCGCAGGCACGTGCGAGTGTGGGGGGCAGTGGGAAGGGCCTGCTGCATGACAGGGCAAGGAAGTGTGGGGGAGAGTGTGGCGTTCGCACGTTGATACGTGTGATCGTGTGAGTGTGCTGCGCACGCGTGGCCCTCATGGTGAGGCGGCCACGAGGAGTGCAGCCACCACGAGGAGTGCAGCCGCCACGAGGAGTGCAGCCTCCATTCTGTTCTTCCGTGTCTTGTGCGCTCTTCCCCGACTCTTGCGCACACCGTCACTCCACCCTCCCGCTTCCGCCCCCTGCCACCCCCTCCTCTCTCCAAGCAGTGCGGGCGTGACAGCGGTGGGTAGTCGCCCGGCGTCGGAGTGGTGGGCGGGGCGATTCCAGGTGGGGCTGCTGGTGGAGGGCGCCATGCACGCACGATACGGGCACACACAGCACGCCATGGGGGTATGAAGGCATTTGTTACTTGACGTATCAATCAAACTAATGATTCGCATGTGTCCTCACGATGCTTGTCTTTATCGCAGCTAGCTATGTAACTCTGTCCAACATCGAGATCATTCCCCATGTAAGTCCAATTGTAAGTCTCGCTGGTCATTTGATCGTCGGACTAATTTCACAACAATGTCTCGTATGACGTGCAGAAATTTGTAGCCTACCACGAGCTATTTCCTCCGGTAAGCTGGCTTTTGTAATTGCTGTCGTATGGAATATAACTAATTTGATTACAATGTTTGAACCTAATGTGCAGGACTCAATATCCAGCGTCGCGCTACTTCGTTGTTGTGAGCATTGTCCTTATTGTTGGTGATTTCGACCTTGGATTAATTTCGAGATAACAAGTTCTGAACGTAACGTTTCAAGAATTGCTGCTCCTGGTGTGCCGCCGCTCAGTTTCTCTTTGTGTTAGTGCGGGACCCACATAGGGGTGCTGGTAGGCAAGGGCGGTTGGGCCATAGTGGTTGTGTACTGTGGTGTAGATGTTTTTTTAATATATCAAATAATTTGCTTGTTGCATTATAAGTAAATCCAAACGAGGCATGCCCTAATTGTACTGAACCATGCCCAAAAGGGTACTGCAGCCTGCAAAAACGGATCCATGAAAAACACCGCCAAACGTTTGCAACAAATCATGCTGAATACTAAAAATGGTGAGCATAAACTTCTCTATGCATTTACATGTTTACTGCAGAAGTTGTAGAAAGAACACCGCCATGCATTTGTAAACGAACCACGGAGATTACCGAAAAGACACCTCTAAGCATTCGCTGTCGTGAACCAAAAAGTGTTTCGGGAAATGTTGTCAAAGCATTCGCCAAGTGTTCTAATCTAAGTCCGCCATGAATTTTCACCCACATGTTCGCAAAACGTTTGCAAAGCATTTGCGCGAATGCTACGCAATCGTTTTGCGAGCATACATTTTTTGCGATGAACCCCCCCCGCTGCAAAATCTGGCCGGCTTTCCCAACTCTTACTGTCTTTCCCAATTCTGGCTGGCTTTCCCAATTCTGGCCGGCTTTCCCAATTCTGGCCGGCTTTCCCAATTCTGGCTGGCTTTCCCAATTCTGGCTGGCTTTCCCAATTCTGGCCGGCTCTCCCAATTCTGGCTGGCTTTCCCAGTTCTGACCGTCTTTCCCATGTCGTGCTCACTTCCACCATCCCATCTTGCCCAGGAGAGACACCTGATGAGCGCGCCAAGTACGTCTCCCTGCACATGGCTGACGAGCACTGGCAGTGCTGGAGGCCTTGGAAGAGTTCCTCGCGCCGTTCTGCTCCATCACAGTGGCGGCTAAGGCTCTACCTACCCCACCTCGTCTGCAGTTGTTCCACAGCTCAACGAGCTGATGGACACGCTGCAGGCCACGCCCTCACCGAGCCTTGTGGCGTGGCAGCTGGTGGGAACCGAACCGCATTCCCAGTCCTAGCCATGGAAATGTGCACGATGGGAGGTGCGCTCATGGCCTCATGTGAGCTCATGGTCAGCCTCATGGGTTATGCTGTCTGTCAGGAGTCAAGCCGCCGAAATAATAGTTTCTAGTGCTCAAGGCTCGAGCTGTCACAAACCATCAAGTGATAACCACCGCCATATGCATTGTTTGCTGCCACGGTGCGACTCGCAGATACAGCAGGCAGCAGCCATTGAAGCAAAGCAGGGTTGACGCAGGTATGGCGTCCATCGCATTCAAGATAGAAAGGAAAAGACTTACATCTTGCGAATCATGCCCGAATCGTCACAGGCGAGACCCACAGCTTCGCTGTAGTTGCCTCCCAGCGTCCACCCCTCGAACGTCACCCCCCATGCCGCCTGGCAGTCGTTGAGAAACCCCACTGACAGCCGGGGGACAGGAGAGCCAGCAAAACGGACGAACTGTGGGTACTGGGTGGGTACACGCCTACTCTTAACCTTGGGGTGTATCAATACCGGCACCTACTATGGATAACCAAGGCACGTTAATGATGATGAGTCCGGAGTGACAACATGCACAACACGCACGCGTTACAACACTCATCACGGTATCAAGCACACTAGTACCACGCAGCACTACTAGGAGGCACAACTTTTGGTTTGCTTCTGCGACTGAAATCGATCATGAGTGTAACGTCTGCGGACGGATTTACCCTAGAATGTAATACGCAATTCCGTTGCGCCTCTGGATAGCCCTCGTTTTACCCAGTAGGTAGCGAGGCGTTATAATGAGCGTTGCGCAAGTTACACGCATACGCTGAGGGAGAAAGATTTGCCCCTACTACAATCCGTAGTATCGCTAGCATCGTCCAGTGCGTCTTGTGAACTGCGATACGAGCCGTGTGGAGGGAGGGGGTTACCTTGCGAAGCATCGATCGGCTGTGCGTGGCACGAAGTGACGAAGGCGGCAAGCCAAAGCGCCGCGGGGAGTGCGAGCCATGCTCGCCGCATCGCAACCGACTTTGGCGGCGGCATTTGCGGCGCCGTGCCTCTCTACGGGAGCTTCTGGGACCGACAATCTGGGGGGCTGTGCTGCTACTAAAGCTTCTAGACGTTTCGCGGGTCTGTGCTACGGTGAAGCGGAGGAGAATCCACTGGATGAGACGGTGGGGTAAAACATCTCTAGCCTAGCCTACTACTACAGGACTAAGGTGGTGTTCAAGTTCCAGCGACATCCGACGACACCCCGGATGTCGTGGCACCGAGCTGGAAACCTTCGAAAACTTACATCTCACTAAACCTACATCAGATATCGACGCGTTGAAAAGCAATCGTAGGCAGCGCAGCGGCCTGCTGAGCGTCCTCCGACAACCAGCGGAAGAGGAAAGGAGGGACCGCACGCGTTCCAAAGCCGCGGTACACATTCACTTCAATTTGTTTCAAGAGATAAACATTTGAAACAGTGGTAACTGAGTGATGCCTGCTGGAGGTGACGAGATCTCGCTACCTGCAGATAGACATTTGAGGGGGATTGTGGCACTCGCGTGCTGATAATCCTGATGACCACCTCTCCACTCATCCCCCTTGGCTCACATTTTCCCAACCTCCTTCCCCCACGTTTTCGATTCCCCCTTCCCCCAACGATCTCGATTCCCCTGGCCCCCAAATCACGAAACTCCTCCCCTGCCCCCTCAAACTCGATTCCCCTGGCCCCCAATTTCCAATCCCCCCGTGCCCCCCAATTTTGAAGCCCCCCGTACCCCCCAAAATTCGATTCCGCCAGCCACCCCTCGCTCGTCCAGCTCCCCCCGTCAATTTCGTTTTCCCCTTCCCGTCGCTAGCCCAATTCCCCCCCAGTCAAGCTCGATTCCCCCCCTCTCAATTCCAATTTCCCCCGTCAATTTCGATTCCCCCCATCCCGCGAAATCCAGTCCCCCCCGACGCAATTCCATTTCCCCCAGTATCGCAAGATAAAATTTCCCCTCGACGAAGCTCAGCCCAATTCGCGTATATACTTTAATTTCGCCCTCCAATCACTTCCGTCCTCCTTTCTTGACCTCCACATTTCCATCCAAGCCGCGTTTAATGCGTACCGCGGCTTTAAGGCTAAATTTGCCAAGGTGTAGCGTGTGCAATGATGATGGAACACTCGGAACCAAGGTACGAAATTTCCCTCCTCCTTTGTTGCAAACAAACCTACGAGTAACGCGAAGGGCTCTCGGTTCAAGGGTAAACATCCTGAACGTCAGGTACATTCCGGGTCTTTCCCGCTGATTTCCTGATTTTGAGGGTTTCGGATCCCCAAGCCTCCTGACTGATTCCGGGCGTTTCTAAGGAACATTCTGATCAATCCGGATTGCACAAAAATTTATCCTGGCCATCCGACTGGCATGGAAAGTACCCGTGCTGGAATTGCAACCCCACCTCCCCACCCCCCCCCCTTCGCCCCCCCCCCAATTCCTTCGCAACTTTGACCAATTTTCCACGCAATCTAAAGGCGCGACCCGTGGAACTTTCACAACTACAGTAGTGCAGGGCTGTCAGGCCTATCATAACCCCTTAATATCGCCTGAGCCAGGTTGCGCACTGTCCCTCTAAATTGTGTGCATTTCTGTCGCGATTGACAAGGAAAGTGTCGAACTTGGTGTGGTGGTGAGGGACAGCAGCAGCAGCAAGTGTGTGTTATGTGTTCTTCATCGTTTCTTCATGTCCTTCTTGGTGTACTCCAAGTGCCTACAAGTTCCATTGATATGTAGGGTGTCCCAAAATTCACTCAGAATTTCATATTGAAACTTCAAAGTAATCCTGAGATAAAGAGAGATGTTCCAAGGAATGCTGAATTTTCAGGGTCTTTAGTGACGCGAATCTTGAGAGCTCTGAGTCTTGAAAAATGAAAAATTAGCCCTGAACGCGACCCCTGCGGCAGCCGCAGGGGGAGAGACCTGACAAAGTTGTAAAGCAGGGCCTATTTTTCAAGGGTTATTGCCCTATATTTGAGTCAAATAAAGGGCATTTTTCCAACTGGCCCCACAAATTAAGGCCTGGATTTTTATGAACCCAGAAGGATTAAAGGCTTATGCAGAATGCAACCTTAGAGATTAAGGGTATATTATTTTCCTACTCTGAGTGTACTACTAGTGCTGGTAGGGCTACACGGGGGATCTCCTTAGGAGTAACAACTCCCTTAGATTTTCGTTGTTCTTTCCTCACAGCACGTACTCACGCCAAGTGACACACCGAGGGGAAATAACTCCCTTCGAATATTTTCGTCCTTTTCTCCTCAAAGCCCATTACTCACACCTCCTAGTCATAGAGAGGAGACAAGTCTCTGGGTAGATTTTCATTCTTCTCCCCCCATAGCACGTTAGTCACACCTCGTAGTCACAAACAGAGGGGAGACAACTCCCTTGGTAGATTTTCGTTCTTCTCCCCTCACAGCACGTTACTCATACCTCGTAGTCACAGACAGAGGAGAGACAACTGTCACAGGATCGAATGACTCGAGGAAAGATTGCACTATCGATCAGTACAAGGTGCTTTTATACTTCCTGAGTACATCAGGTAACCAGGTTTATCTTATCCCGAGGGAATAGACCCTTCTAGAAGATAGAATCACCCTGCGTATAGCCACGCGAGGCTATTGGCTTTAAGGGATTACGGCAGGATTATGCTAGATATAGCGCGCCAGTACATCCCAAGCCTGGTCGGTGATATAATTAGAATATCAGGATAAACCAAAGGATAATGGAGAATGGAGAATAGGAAACCAAATGAGATGGGATAAAAATATAAATGAAAGAGGAAGGAAATAAGGAGAGTCAAGTAGTGTAACGGGGTCGTACTCTCACAACAACTCTCTTGGTAGATTTTTGTTCTTCTCGCCTCACAGCACGTTACTCACACGTCGTAGTCACAAACAGAGGGGAGACAACTCCCTTGGTAGATTTTTGTTCTTCTCGCCTCACAGCACGTTACTCACACCTCGTAGTCACAAACAGAAGGGAGAAAACTCTCTTAGTAGATTTTCACGCCCTTTTCGTCTTGCCCATACATCTCCTGGTAGATTCTAACAGTGGTAGTGAAAAGAGTACTGTGCGAACAAGCCCTAATGATTAAGGGTTGCCTTCCGCTGGACCCTGAAAATTAAGGCTAAATCCTCAAGGAGCTGGTGACCCAAAATGTGGAAGATTAATCAACATGATAGGGGCAAAAAGTTGGGCATTGCAGCGTGCAGGCAGTAGTGCGAGATCGCGAGTGTACTTCACCAACGAGCGAACGTTGCAACACCATGCGCGACAAAAACACTCTTTACAAGACCTCATAAACCAATCAGAGCGCAAAAATACCGAGCAGGCAAAATCACCGCCAATAAAGGACAGAACGGGAGGGATGGGACGGAAAAGGAAAAGGAGGGGCCGGCTAGGCGCGGGAAGTTGGGGGGGGGAGGGGGGGGGGAGAGGAGGGGTGATGAACAGCGAACAGCAAGAAGGCAAGACACGTAAGGACGTGGTGGCTTTGGCAAGATGTGGGCTGTGCAAGTTGACTCTGTTGCGCAACTCGCGTAGTAATATGCTTCGGCAATTTTCGCCAAAAATACTTTGGGGTAGGATGGCGCACGTGTGTCAACTACTATAAAATACATTGCTATTTTCGCGTCGCTTTACGCGAAACATGCAAATCGAAACGCGAAAATGGATCTAGTGCCGGGAATCTGGTAACAAACAATTCGCTACCGTCTCAGGCACTCAGCAAATTGCGATTCCTGAGCTGCGCAACTTGACCGAGTTTTTGGGTTGCGTAGCAACCTTATAAATTTGGTTTCATGTTTCCGTATGCCAGGGTTACTACACTTCTAAATTGACTTTTTGATGTATTTTATACCCGTATACTGCCCTAATACACTTATGATGTATGTTTCATCTGCCAATGTTCGTCGATAACTACGGTGGACAATGGTATAAAAACGTACATTGTCGCAATTCTTCGTTTTATACAAGAATTGCGCACAAACCTTTCGAAACATCCGCAGGTTACATAGACCATTCCACTACACACACATCCTCCTCCATTCCATTTCATATACAAACAACAATAAATACCACACCACAGTTACTCATCACTTGAAAAAAAACGAACAGATAAAATAATACACAAAACAAACGAGACGGAAAATATGCTTAAGTGCAATATGTGGTAGTTCATTTGGGGTTGTGTGCTGCTTCTACCATTCCATCGTCGATGGATACGGCGGTGGAATAACAAAATCGCACACCAACACCAAGCTTTTGAAGCACCCATATACTATGCACACATATAATAATGTGGATGTATAAGACAGTACACGAATGCTTCAATGTTGCAAATGGGGTTGACATGTACGTTATGGAAGCTTAGCTTCCAAACCGACAACGACAACCGTAGTTTGCATTTTGCACTTCGCATATATGCACCACTCCAGTACAAACACGTACTGTACAACATGCAAACGAGTAATGATGCCATGAATGCATTGAAACGATACACGGATGCTTTCGTGCTGCAAGTGGGTTGACATGTACGTTTTGAAAGCATTGCTTTCAAGCCGACAACGGCAACCACAATATGCGTTTGCATTTGGCATATGTGCACCACTCCAATAGAAACACATACAGTATGCAAACGCGTAGCGATGACATGAATGCATTAAAGCGATACACGAATGCTTCCGTGCTGCAAATGAGGTTGGCATGTACGTTTTGGAAGCAATGCTTTCCAAGCCGACAACGATAACCGCAACTTGCGTAATGCACTTGGCATATATGCACCACTCCAGCACAAACGCATACGATATGCGAACGTGGTATAACACATGTTGTAAATGCAACGAAGCGATACGCGAATGCTTCCGTGCTGCAAGTGAGGTTGACATGTACGATTTGGAAGCGATGCTTTCTAAGCCGACAACGACAATTGCAACTTGCATAAAGCACTTGGCATATATGCATCACTCCACTACAAATACGACACCGACAGTAATGATTACATAACGATTCATACCATGCAATCCAACATACACTCACAGACCCAGGACACATGAAAATACCCACAATAAGGAAGAGGGAAAAAGAAGGGCGAGAAAGTAAGGGGAAAAAAACCAACGCGACAAAAATTATAGAAACCACACGTCATGGGAGTACAGGCAATAACAACACACACAAGAACTCTGAGCAAAACATCACAAGAGTCGAATAGGCTAAACTAATCATTTATTGCTAGTTGCATTAAAGTACACTCTCCCCCTCCCCCTACTACCCCCCACCCCCCTTCCCCTCCACTCCCCAACATCCTCCCTCCCCCTCCGGACCTCGTTCCCCCCCTGCACCCCGTTGGCAATGCACAAATGTAGCTGCAGTTTGTACAACCAAATGATGCCCCCTTAGTTGCAAGTACGAACCGGTGGTTATCACAAGGCAGAGAAGGGGAAGAAAGGGCAAGAGGCAGGAGCCAAAGGGTAGAAAGGAAAACGGAAGAGAGGAACGGTTTATGGACAGACAAAGAGGGTAGGAAGACGAGGTGAAAGACACGACAGAAATAGGGCGCATAACAGTCAACGATGAGAGACCGAAGTGGAAAGTATTACCGAGGAACTAACAACTAACACATATCGGTATATGCTTGCAACAAACTTACAACTGAGCAAATTGGAAATTTTGCTAGCTGATGAAATCAAACGAGCCCAATCAAGAGGACTGGCTGTGTACAAGAGGACAAAAAAGTAAGGTGCATAGTGGGGAGAGCAAATAATAAAACTGAAAGCGAAAATTAGGGAACAGAGAATGAAAGGCGGTGAGGAGAAATGGAAGGACAGAGCGTAGAACAGAAGACTACAGAGGAACAGTGGGAGGTGTATGGTGCATGGTGCATGGCGTGCGAGGTGCACGGTGCAACACCAAGTGTGCAAATAGCAAGTGCACCAAATGAAAGTGCGCCAACAACAAGTGCGGCAACAGCAAGAAATGCGTTAGCAGCAAGTGCGCCGACAGCAAGTGCGCCAACAGCAAGTGCGCCAACAGCAAGTGCGCCAACAGCAAGTGCGCCAACAGCAAGTGTGCCAGGCGCGTTTATTGTTGGCACGCTTGCTGTTGGCAGGCTTGCTGTTAGCGCGCTTGTTGTGGGTGCGCTTGCTGTGGGCGCGCTTGCTGTCAGCGCGCTTGCTGTGGGTGCGCTTGCTCTAGGCGCGCTTGCTGTCGGCGCGCCTGCTGTCGCCGCGCTTCCTGTGGGCGCGCTTGTTGTCGTTGCGCTTGCTGTCGGCGCTCTTGCTGTCGGCGCGCTTTCTGTTGGTGCGCTCGCTTTTGGCGCGCTCGCTGTTGGCGTGCTCGCTGTTGGTGCGCTCGTTGTTGGTGCGCTCACTGTTGGCGCGCTTGCTATTGTCGCGCTCGCTGTCGGCGTGCTTGCTGTTGGCGCGCTTGCTTTTGGCGCCCTTGCTGTCGGTGCCCTTGTTATTGGCGTGCTTGCTGTTGGCCCGCTCGTTGTTGGCGCGCTCGCTGTCGGCGCGTTTGTTGTCGGCGCCCTTGCTGTTGGCGCGCTTGCTCGAAAACGGCCGCGGGATTCTGGGAAAATCAACTTCGACGAAGCTGATTCGACGCGAGAAGGAGGAAATGATGGGGAAAAATCTCCACCCCATGACCAGTCTTCGCCAGGGAAAATCGCCGCGGAAAAATACGAATCCACGAAAAAAGACTCTGCCGAGACGGGGAAACTCCTTGAAGACCCAAGAAATTACAATGGCGGAATAAATTGCCCGGATGTTTAACACTTTGAAACGTATCGCTATGCCACACATGTTTTGAAAATAGTAACACCCATTTTTTGCCATTCCGTTACAAGGTGTTCTAGTTCTGCTTCAACCGTTTCTTGCTTGGTGCGATTGTGATACAACTGGAAAGTGGGGTTGAAATTTACTCCTCGACTATCGATGCGGACATTTCCTACCGAGCGGAAGAGTAGATCTATTTTCCCCCGTCACTCGGTGTGTACATCGTCACGCGCAATAGTTGCTGGCTTAGGAGTTAGTCCGGAGGCGAGCCTACGACCGCATCGCTATGAAGCCGTTAAATGAGCGGAAGCGCGCGCGAATCATAAGCATGTTGCGTGCGGGGCATTCGACTAGGAAAATAGGCAAAGTTCTTGGCATAGGCAAGAGCACCGTGCACGATTACGGTTTGAAAGTTGCTGCCGAGACTAGTGTCGAGGAGGTGCGACCTACGATGCCTACGGCCGGCCACCCCCGCTTAATCACTACCCCTCTCCAGCGCGGAATAATATGCGCGATTACAAGCGGCGAGGCGAAAAGCTCTGTAGACGCGGCATATATGTTGTTGGAGAAGCACGATCTCGCCGTAGACTCGAAGACGGTCAGGAACTCATTACGATCCGCGGGGCTGATCGCCGTACATCAGCCCAAGAAACCCAGGCTCTCACCGAAAAACATCCGAGATCGTCTCCACTTCGCGCGGTCGCATGCCGACTAGACGCTGGAGGAGTGGAAGCGGGTGATTTGGTCTGACGAGACAAAGATAAACCGCTACTGCTCCGACGGACGTGCGTACGCCTGGATTCGCGAGGGCACCAGCCTTCGGAGCCATCAAGTCCAACAGACAGTTAAGCATGGGGGCGGTTCTGTGATGGTGTGGGGTTGCATGACGTATGAGGGGGCGGGGTTCATATGCAAGATAGATGGCAGGATGGATGGGCCGCTGTATCGCAGCATCTTGCAAGATGAGCTCAAACAGACCATCGATTTTTTCAAGCTTTCCCCCTCAGAGGTCATTTTCCAGCACGACAATGATCCCAAGCACAGGTCTCGTCTGGTCCAAGACTGGCTTGGGGAGCAGGAGTACGCGGTGCTGGAATGGCCGTCATGCTCCCCGGACCTTAACCCGATTGAGCACCCGTGGGCACACTTGAAAAGGCAGCTGGGGAAGTACGAAAAGCCGCCAAGTGGAATGCTGGAGCTGTGGGAGAGGGTGCAGGAGGAATGGGACAAGATACCGGCGGAGGTGTGTGCAAACCTGATCGACAACCTGCCGAGGAGGATCAAGGCAGTGATTCGGGCAAAGGGACGTTGGACTAGGTACTATTTTTCACAGAATCTAGTATGCTACCTGTTTTCGGTACAAATTTTCCGGATGTTATCCTTTGCTATGCTTAGGTGTTTAAGGACCATGTGTAGTACTACTTTGGTGTTTGTCAACTCGAGTGAGTGCTCTAACTGAACTTCTCAGCGTGTATGCACACCATACATTAAGGCTTAATGTTTACGCCGCTGCACTCATCAAAATGCCAAAAAAGGCTGAACATGTGGACAATTTATTCCGCCACTGTATAAGGATTCGTTAAAGCTATCCTATAAAGATGCTTTAATGAAAACTTATGATTTTCGAGGGGCTAGAGCCTTAGAGAAATTTCGGGAGGGACTCCAAAAGAAGTAGACAGCTGTGGAGATTATGCCGGTACCGGACAACTTGGGGAAAAAATTAAGGAGTGTGGAAAGAAGCCGACCTTTCCACGGAGTCAACGTCCTCTCCCGACACCAGCCCACAACGACTACCCGTTCCCCAGGGAAGAGTGGAGCTAAAGCAGCTCAAGAGGAAGCTGGGGGTCTACAAGAAGCTGCACAAACCCCGAACTCCTCGTCCGGATGCATCCAGTTCTCCGGCATCAATGACGCGCACAGTCGTCAAGGAAACTCCGGGCCCTGGAGAAGAGCCGTTCTCCAAGCAGCCTCGGCCAGCTGCCAGCTCAGGAGTAGATAGCAACACAAAGGTGTGTGCGGAATATTGGGATGTACCATATGACCCAATCAATGAAACCATCTTTGGGTACTCCGAGCAACGCCTGCCCCTCGTGCTCGAGGTCATCTGCAAAGGACGACGCCTCCAAGCACTCGTGGACAGCGGAGCATCACACACCGTCTACGACAAGGCAGTAATCGCACCGCAAGCATCTACAACAATGGACGGAGAGTACAGCTACCCAACTAGGATGATACGGGAGATATCCCAGTGGAGACACTCGCACGATTCGAGAAGGAAGTGAAGCGAACCGACACCGGGTTCCTGGCGATAGCAACAAATGTGGAAAACGACGGGGAGAAGACCTCAGAACCTCCGAGAAAGATCAAGGAATTATTGAAGGAGTTCTAAGACGTTCTTCCTGACGATCTTCCGAACGAGCTACCGCCATACCGAACGCATCAACACGAGATTGTGGAGGAACCGGGTTCAAAGCCGACCTTCCGAGCACCATATCGGCTCAGCCCTACGGAGCTGACCGACATGAAAAGGCAGATCGAGTATCTCCTAGCCAAAGGACTCATCCGACCATCCACTTCGCCATACGGTGCCCCAGTACTCTTCACACCGAAACCGGACGGAAGCATGCGCATGTGCATCGATTACCGGGCTCTTAACCAGCAGACCATCAAGAATAAATATCTGATACCGCGAATCGATGACCTACTTGACCAGCTTCGGGGAGCCACGGTATTTTCCAAACTGGATCTGTGGTCCGGATACTGGCAGATACGGATGGCGAACAACTCTATCCACAAAACTGCTTTCCGAACTCGGTACGAATCGTACGAGTATTTGGTCATGCCGTTCGGACTCACCAACGCACCGGCAACATTCCAAGCCGAGATGAACCACATCCTACGCCCACTTTTGGACGAGTGCGTGGTAGTATACCTGGACGACATCCTCATCTACTCGCGTGACATGAAGCAGCACGTCGAACACCTGCGACGCGTCTTCGAAATTCTTCGACGAGAACGGTTCTACGTCAAAATGTCCAAGAGCAAATTCGCCCTTGAGAAGGTCCAATTCCTAGGGCACATGGTGAGCGCTCAAGGAGTTCACGTCGACCCCAAGAAAATCGAAGCCGTACGTACGTGGAAGACACCCGAGAACGTGAAGGAGTTGCAGCAGTTCCTAGGCTTCGCTAATTACTATAACAGGTTCGTCCCATAGTATGCGAAACTCGCAACACCACTCACGAATCTGCTGAAGAAGAACACGCCCTACAAATGGGAGCCAAAGCACCAGGAAGCCGTGGAGCAGCTGAAACAAGCACTCACGTCCGCACCAGTACTCATCTTGCCAGATCCCGAACGCGACTACGTAATCGAAGCTGACGCCAGCGACCAAGCAGTGGGAGCAGTCTTGATGCAAGACCAGGGAAATGGAATGCAAACAATCGCCTACCTCAGCAAGAAACTGCACGGGGCAGAACTAAACTACCCGATACACGACAAAGAGGCCCTTGCCATCGTCATCGCCTTCAAAGCGTGGAGATGTTATCTCGAAGGACGAAGAACAACCGTCTTCACCGACCACTGCAGCCTGAAATACTTGAAGACACAACCCAACCTTTCCAGGCGACAGGTCGGGTGGATCGACTTCCTCGAGACACACTTCCACTACGATATCGCGTACAAGCCCGGCCACAAAAACAAAGCAGACGCCCTGCACACATTGCCGCCATTCAGGTCGAAGGGATGAACCCACTACTCAAGGGACTCTTCACACACGGGTAGGCCATCGACCCCGAAATTCCCTTGGCAGAAAAGCGACATCTGCTACAGTGGGACAGTGACATCGCATACCTGAAAGGATCAACGAAAATCTGGGTACCCAATTACCCTCCTTTGCGCCAGTTCCTATCGAAGAATACCATGACGTCCTCTACGCCGGACACTTCGGTAGCAACAAGACGCTGACCGGTATTGCAAAACACTACTACTGGCCCCACTTGGCAGAGGATGTTCAGAAATTCGTCACCTCGTGTGATACATGTCAGCGGATAAAGAGCAGCAAGCAGAAAAAGGCGGGACTACTGCAGCCTCCTCCTGTCCCAGAACAGCTATGGAAAGTGGTTAGCCTGGATTTCATCACCGGGTTACCACCTATCACCAGCGGTCATGACGCAATCCTTGTCGTTATCGACAAATTCTCCAAAATGGGACACTTCATCCCGACACACACGACGGCATGCACCGAGGAGACAGCACAACTCTTTGTTCGTTACATCATCTCACAGCATGGCATTCCAACCACACTCATTTCCGACGGAGACCCCAAGTTCACCAGCAAGTTCTGGAAGGAACTTATGTCTCTGCTCGGGACCAAACTCGCCATGTCATCCGCTTACCATCCGCAGACAGACGGACAGACCGAGCGCCTCAACCAGATTGTTGAGCAACTCCTCCGAGCAGCCTGCAGGGACGAGATCTCCAAATGGGACTTGCACCTGCCCATTCTAGAGTTTGCTTACAACAACGCTACGCATGCCGCTATTGGACAGACGCCGTTCTTCCTCTGCTACGGACGCCACCCACTCACACCACAAAAACCGACAACATCCGCTACAGTCCAACCTGCACACGATTTCATCACAACCATCCATCAGCTTTGGGATCGGACCCACAAGCGCCTCCTCGACGTTCAGCAGCAACAAAAGCGCCAGGCCGATCGCCATCGCAACGACCACACCATTACCGTGGGAGACCAGGTGCTCCTTGACACCCGCAACCTTGACATCAGTCATCTCCCATCTAAACTGCGACCTCGCTTCTGCGGGCCTTTCCTCGTTCAAGCACAGGTCACTCCTATTACCTTCCGCTTACGCCTGCCAGCTACCTGGAAGATTCACAACGCCTTCCATGTCCAACTTCTGAATCCCTATCGGGATCCGAACACGATCTTCGTCAGACGCCAACCGCCGCCGCCGCCGCCCATCCTCGTCCAGAATGAACCCGAGTACGAGGTCAAGTCCGTGCTTGCACACCGACATCGTCAAAATGGCACCGTGGAGCTTCTCATCCGTTGGAAGGGTTATGATCCTTCTGAGGACAGCTGGGTACCTGAGACCGACATGGGTAACGCCCGTCGTCCTCTGCATGACTACCTTGTCAAGCAGGGTGTTACTTCTACCACCCAGATTTGAGTGGAGAAAGTGTGAGAGTATGACCCTGTTACACCACTTGTCCTTTTTCTTATTTCCTTCCTCTTTCATTTCTCTTTTTATCCCATCTCATTTGGTTTCCTAATCTCCATTTTCCATTAACCTTGGATTTATCCTGCTATTATAATTATATCACCGACCAGGCTTGGGATGTACTGGGGCGCTATATCTAGCGTAATCCTGCCGTAATCCCTTAAAGCCAATAGCCTCGCGTGGCTATACGCAGGGTGATTCTATCTTATAGAAGGGTCTATTCCCTTGGGATAAGATAAACCTGGTTACCTGATGTACTCAGGAAGTATAAAAGCGCCTTGTACTGATCGATAGTGCAATCTTTCCTCGAGTCATTCGATCCTGTGACAGCGCACCATCACTCTCATCAGTCATACTTGGTGCGCTAGGTCCTTCAAAGGTTCGGTCTTCAGTTAACCTCCGCACGGCCCACACCTCTGCCAGTAGATCACAGGCTCTCGGCTCCAGTTCCTGAGGAGTTTGTAGAGCCTAGTGGTCCTTACGCAGAGCAGGTGGGTTGCTTCATGTACCTGATGACTTGCACTTGTCCAGATCCCGCATACCCTCTCAGCATCCATGCACGCTTTGTGGCCACAAGCAGACACCGACCACAACACTGGTCGGCCGCTAAGAGAGTTTTGCACCATCTAACATCGGGCATGGGGCTAGTGCTAGGAGGACACAGGCTAGTGGTCCTTGCAGGGCACACAGACGCTTCATGGGTAGACGACGCTGAGACACTCAGGTCCTCCCAGGGCTACTGCTTTAGCCTTGGTGCAGGTGCTGTGAGAGCACGACCCCGTTACACTCCATTCTCATTCCCATCTTTCTTCCCTATCTCATTCACCTTTTTCTCTTCATTCATTTGCTCTTTACCTCATCTCATTTGGGTTCCTATTCCTCATCCTTTGGTTTATCCTTTTATCATGAATATATCATCGACCAGGCTGGGGATGTACTGGCGCTCTATATCTAGCGTAATCCTCCCGTAATCCCTTAAAGCCAATAGCCTCGCGTGGCTATACGCAGAGTGATTCTATTTCTAGAAGGGTCTATTTCTTTTGGATAGGATAAACCTCGATACCAAATGTACCTTTGAAGTATAAAAGCGCCTTGTATCGGTTGATAGTGCAACTTTTCCTCGACACATTCAATCCTGTGACAGGTGCCATCTTGTGGAGGTCCACTCGCTCGTCGTCTGTTGCCCTGTCTAGCTGTGAGAGTGATATCTATGCCGGTGCCATGGTGGCACAGGAGCTCCGCTGGCTGACTTTCTTGCTTACAGACTTAGGTGAGCGGCCTAGCTCTGCCCCGGTCCTGTATGCTGACAACAGGGCCATGATCCTCTTGTGTTAGGAGCCTCGATTGGAGGGCAGAGCAAGGCACATCCAGCTGCGGTACTTCCTCCTGCGCGAGCTACAGCAGCGCCGCCAAGCCCGCATAGTACACTTGGCCTCAGGTGCCAACACAACTGATATCTTTACGAGGGCGCTTGCGCCTGAAGATCATCAGCGGCACTGTGCACAGCTTGGTCTAGTTCCTGTAGCTTCTCACTTGCCAGGACCTTGATGTATACTCCCTCTTATATGATATTGATTGGCCTTGTGGCTCTTGTTCCAATGGTTGGAATAGTAGTGCCACCCTGGGTTACTCTTGTTTAGTTTGTACTCTTGCTGACTGGTCTTCGAACCCTTGCCTCAGATGTTGGAGTAGTAGTGCCACCCTTAGCTGTGTGTCTCGTGCTAGGCACTGCCCGTCATCTAGCCTAGGGGGTGTGTCAAACATATTTGTTTAGGCTAGATAGGTGTGTACATGTTTCCCTCATTCTGGTTAATCTTTCTACGCTAACATGTTTATCCGCGCGTAGTAAAAGGACAGGATCAGGAACATTATTGATTCTGATCCTACTTCATGGGAATTCGCCCAGTCTAAATACGGTAGTCTTATAAAATCAGCATGTGACATGACCTCCGTCCTACACAGTACCCAAAGCTACCTTTGCCCACCTCCTTTCTCTCCCGCGCCTTTCTCTAAGACCTACAACCCCATCTCAAATTGATATGCAGATTTCCTGCCAGCCACGTAGAGTGATTATGGGACACAAATCACCTCGACTCCTATGGTTCCATAGCAATATTCACCATTATAGTCGTAAAAATCTTCAGCTGCTGTACCCGTATCTCCACCATAGAAGTGGTAAGCGGCTGAACACGCCATGGATGGCGAGACTGGCTTGGTCCTGCCCTTCTTGCACCTGCCCAATTTGAATGACCAATACTCTGCCTTGACGCAAATCTGGTAGCAAGATACATGTGAAACAGGTGCATAGAAAGGGTTGGGCAAAGCAGATGGCAAAATTGGCAGTTGAAAAGATAGTGTGGATAACAGATGCAAGGACGACTTGCAGACAAATCTGCGTGGAAATGCGTGGAAATGCGTCGTATCCATGGCATGGAAATGTCACCGATCATACCTGCAGTAGTGTCTGCCAGACTGGTTTCTTAAATTTGCACAAGTGCTCTAGCCTTCAATGAGGCTCACTCCCCTCCAACCCCCACAGCCCTCACCTGCACGCCAATCTTGCTGCCGACAACTGAGACGGATGCAGGGATTGTGCTGGAGCAAATGAGGCCGGGATTGTTGCGGTACAGCTCAGTTGGGAAGCTTCTGGTCCTCTGAATTAGCCGGTTGCATGTTACTTCAGGTGTGAGCAAGCCGTAATTCACACACACAGGAACAGTGAACGCAAATGTGTCATTGCGCTCGATGCACACCGAGCGGCCTGCCTTGATGGGCTTGGAGCAGTCAAGACCGGGGTTGAGAGCAGCGAGATCAACATCCATAGATTTGATCTGTGTGCTGATGGACGAACAACTGTTGCCCTGGAGGGTTGAACAAAGGCAGGGAGGGTATGATTGCAGCATGCTCATTGGCATGAAAATAGTGCACCCGAGTTGCGTTGACAAGGTGCGTTGGGTGAGTGGTGTGGTGAAACGAGGAAGGCAATATAACTCACACTGAGCGTGTAGAAGAAGGCAGTGCAGGGTGTGGTGGGAGA